ACCACTCTCCGCATGACTGTCAACCCGTGTCTGCCCTTGGCCAGCCATCCCAGGCCTGGAATTATTCCTGCGAGGTGTTTTACATACACCCATCTGGTCTTTTACCCTCTTCCAAATGTCTCTGTGCTCCAGATGAAACAGTCAAGACTGAGTCTCAGCTTAAGGAGGGGAATAAGGTGACCCACACAGTCCCAAGGTCCTCCCAGGGCCATGCAATAGCCAGGAGGGACTAGTGTCTCTGAATCAGAGCATGATTCTGTTCTTTTTGTTTTGTTTTGTTTTTTGAAACAGACTCTTGCTATGTTCAGGCTGGCCTCGAACTTTTGCTGATCCTCTGCCTCAGCCTCCTGGGTGCTAGGGTCACAGATGTGCAGCACCATGCTGTGAGAGCAGCATTCTTAAAAGGTGCAATCTCCCATACTTTCCCAAGCTGGGAACCCTGCCCAGTAAGTCCATTACACCCACTCTTCAGCGCCTGCCACCACACTTCCAGTCCATTCTGCCTCCTCAGTCTTCTAGTCTATGCTGCTCCCTACCCCTACCCGGCACAGGTCTTGACTATCTCTTGATTATCTCTTGCTCGGAGACTTTTCAAATCTCCCTGGGCTTTTCAGTTTCCACCTTCAAGCAGGGCTTAAAAAAGAAAATCTACAAAATCCCCCGCGTGCCAGTTTACAAGGCCATAGGGCTACCTGTGTCCAGCGGGATCCGGTCCAGTTTCCCTGTATCCCGGGCCTCCCTTACCATCCTTCCCGATGGTCTCACTGTCCCTTCAGCCCCCACAGGAGCTTTCAAAACAGGGCCTGTTCGCTCTCTTGCCTGTTCCTCTGTGCTCCTCGTTTCTCTCCTTCACCTTCCTGGCTCCGATAGCACGACCCAGCCCAGCCCAGCCCCAGGTTCGCTGGGTCCCTTCTCTGGAAAAGCCTCTAGCACACTGCGCTAAGCAGGGAGGTAGTCTTGGGTCCCTAGCTCCGGCTAGGAGTGGAGGGGGAAGGCCCCGACGGTCTAGTTCCCACTCCCAGGCTGCCCTGACCTGACAACCTCGGAGTCCTTAGTCGGTTCCGGGGCCCGACCCTGGCGTCTGACAGTTCTGGGTCCCCAGCCTCCCGCGCTCCCGCGCTGGGGGACACTGTGCAAGAGACTGAACCTCTAGGAGCGCCGGTATCCCCATGTCTAAGCCCCGCGTGCAGACGTCTCGTCAGCGGCTCTAGGACCAGCGCGCTCTTCCCTGCCCTTACCAGGTCACCCTCCGGGGGAGGTGCGAGGCAGCGGGTCCCCCATGCGGAGCAGCAGAGACAGCTGGCCCGCCCCCGCCCCGGTGGGCAATAAGTAACCAGCTCCGCGGCCAGGGTGCTCTTTGGACAGAGCGGTACAAAAGGCCCTGTGTGCACTGCAGGTTACTGATTTACCGCCCCCTCCACCCTCGTACCTCCGCGGAGCGGACGCCCAGGTCCCCTGTGCTGGGCGGGGGCTGCCCCGGGGCCACGCCACCGCTTGGCCCCTGGCGGCTGGCCCCTGCTCACCCAGAGCCTGCGTGGACTCCCTCCGGGGACAGGGTCCGGCCTCACCTGGCTCCTCCACAGTCTCGCTCCCAGCTCCGGCCAGCTACGATCCCCGTGCCTACCGGGGTCCGGAGACTCAGCCCGGGAGCTCCGCGGCCCCGGCGGGAGAGCCAGGAATGCACTGGCCAAGGCGGCGTGGCCGCTCCGGCCCCGCCCACCTCGGGCCCCGCCCACCTCGGGCCCCGCCCACCTCGGGCCCCGCCCCGCCTGGACCAGCTCAGTTGGGGTGGCGGGCTCTGGGCGACCTAAGTGCTAGCGCCGCTGGAGCCCGGCTCCCGAATCCGGCTGCGCTCAGTGACAGACCAGGTCACCCAGTGTTGGGACCCTGCTCAGGTTACTATGCACCCCTCCAGGTTCGGCTCTTTCGCCCCTCTGAGGACCCTGACCAGGCTTCCAAGTTCTAGTCGGCTGCCTGCTCACTCCCCAGCTGTTCACCATTCTGGGAATGAGACCTTGGCTCAGTCTGACCCCTCTGTCTTCTGTGCAATCTCTGTCCAGCGGCTAGAAGAACTCTCCTTCCTTTGTTTCCCGAGCAACATTTAGAGAAAGGTTTAAAATACGAATCGGTGGCACTTGCCTGGAATCCCAGCACTGGGGTGACTGAGGCAGGATTATTGCTGTGATTTCGAGGCCAGCCTGAATTACACAGCAAGACCTTGTTTCACCCCCACCCTCAAATCAGACTGTATCAACCACATCCTTTATTCATTTTTTTTTATAGTTTCCCGTAGCTCTTATATAGATAGATACATAGATAGATAGATTCTTGGAGACAGGGTCTTGCTATAGTTCAGGTTGGTCTTGAACTCACTATGTAGCCCAGGCTGGCCTCAAACTCACATCCTCCTGCTTCAGCCTCCTGAGTGCTGGGATTACAGGCGTGTGCCACCAGGCCCAGCTTTATATGGATAGATTTTTGTCATGCCATGGTCTCTGCTCACATCTGCAGATGAAGCCTTCATTCACTGTTTCCTTGCTGGCACCCACCAGTCTCTCTTCCTGGACTGGCCTTTCCTCTCTTGATCTGTTTAATTCTAGCTCATTCTTAGGTCTCAGCTCACTTCCTCTGGGAAGCCCTCCAGACTTCCCCTTTGACGCCTTCTTTTGTGGATGGAGAAAGAAGCAGAGTGAAGTGATTCCCCTTGCAGACTGCAGGGCTGGGCTGCTTGGGCTCAAACCTCAGCACCACCACACATGGCCTTGGCAGGTGACTCCATTTATCTTCATTTTCTCACCAGTAAGAAGTGGGTACACGATAGTATTGTTCTCAAGCAGTTGTTGCAAAAAGCAGGGTCTACATGTCAGTATGTGAT